TACCTCAGGACTTGAGAAGTAGAAGCAGGGTTCAAGGTCAACCTGGTCCTACAGCCAGGAGACATAGTGAAACTGTTTCAAAAAAAAAAAAAAAAAAAAAAAAAAAACAAACCACAAAAAACGTTGAATGTGGTGGCTCCTGTCTGAAATCCCAGCTCTCAGGAGACTAAGGCAGAGGAAGGGGGATCCATATGAGCTCAATATTAGCTTGGGTTATATAGTGAGTTCGAGACCAACCTTGGCTGCAGAGTGAGGCTCTGTCTAAAAAATAAGGCCTGGGGACCCTGTCTCAAGGAAGAATAAATAACCAAGCTCAAACTTCCACTCAGAGTTACTGAGCCCTTTGTGATTCTGCTCCAGGAGTCAGCCTGGACTAGCTAGGGACATCTGGATAGTGTATTCATACCTGATAACTAGCCTGAGGATAACCGGCAATCTGGGACAGTGCCATCCTCAGTTTCACAGTGAAAATGTCACCTTTGTATTTCTGTGACTGGCCATCCCATCCCTGGTTTGGAGGTAGGAAGTAGGAAAAAAGATCTCTCGACCCATTCTGTCCCCTTCTGGGAGAGATCTGTGTTGCTCAGCAGGCTCTGTGCTGGCCTCTGGGGACAGGGGGAAATGAGCTATATCTACCCTCTTCAGGGTTTTGTGAGCACGAAAACCACAGGTGAGTGAGTGTCCTTTGTCAGTTTGCCAAGTCCCTCGTGACAATGGAGCCCCACATCCCTGAGCTACACTCGCCTCTAGAAATGAGCTTATGGTGTCTCTTGTGGACTTGCTCATGTAACAGCTCTCCCTGAGGGCCATCATACAGGCACTTCGTAACATGGGAAGGATGATATGCCGGGCTGTGAGAGGACTCCCTGCTTATGATTGCACATGAAGCCAATGGGAGCCCAGCCTGGAGGGGGGCAGCCGGCAGAGAGAGCAACCGTGGGCAGGGTGTCTAGAAGGGCAGGAACAAGCTGTCCTTTCCTCACTTGGAAGCCTGGCCACTCCTCTCCAAGCCATTTGGGTTTAAGCTGTTAAGACTAAAGCAGTCAGGGTCTTGAAATATAGAGAAGCCCAAGCCAGGCTGAGAGGGCCCAGGTGCTGGCCCAGTGTGGGTTCAGAGACCTTTTTCAGGCATGGCAGAGCCTCTCCCTGGGATCACTTCTCTGGGCTCCATTCCTCCCCAGCTTTCCTGCCTCTGCCAACTCCATACTGTCAGGCTGGCCCGCCCATTGCTTGATCTCCAGGCCCAGGCTGCCCTTTTTGGCCCCCAGCCAGCCCAGGCACCACCTCTCATGACCTTGAGCCCTTCCCAAGCACCTGGCACCAGCCTTGCCAGGTCCCAGCCAACTCTCAGCTTTGAAACTGGATAGTGACACACGGTAGAATAAAAGGCTGCTTGCGTGGCCCACTGACTGTGCTGCAGGTGTCATGTCAGGCCGGCCCACATACTTGCAGTCACTCTGGCTTCCTGTCATTGCAGGGACTGGAGGGGGCCCTCCACCAAGCCATAGCCCTGGCTCAAGGGTTCTGTCCCTCATTGTCCTCACCAGGCTAACCAATGATGACATTGCTCAGATTAACAGTACAATACAGGAACACTGGGGCCTCTCAGCAGCCAGAACATAGGCAAGTTCCTAAGAAAGGGGACATCAGGAAGTTAGCAGAACCTTTGTGTGCCTGCTGAGGGGACAGCCAGCTGCAAGCCCTTCCACAGGAAAGCCTGAGAAAACTGTGGAGTTTCTGGCAGAGAGACAAATAGAAAAAAAATCCTGGCTGCCTGGGGGGAGGGGCAGGCAGGGTGAGCTTCAGACCTGCTGGTTAGGCAGGTCTTTCCTCCCCTCTTCCTGAATGGCCAGGGCCTGTTTACCCAGGCACCCACCTGCCCACTAGCAATGGCCATGAGTGGCCTCTGCCTGCATGTGACCAACCAGGTAGCACCCCAGAGCCTCCCAAAGAGGAGGAGGTTGTTGAAGTCACAGAGCTGATGGTGTCAGCCACCTCACTGGCTAGTCTGTCATTTTGCAGGTGCTGTGTGCTGGGCTGTATTAAGAACTCGATTAGGACTGAAGAGGGGCCTAGACCTTGAACTGTTCAGGCTGGTACCTTCTCTGTAAGCTCAAGGCCCTGACTGTAACAAGACAGTTTTTCTGGACTGAGGGTGTGAAGTCAGTTCAGCGAATTCCATAGGCTTCTCAGGGGGACACAGAGCAGGGCTGAAAGCCTCAGTGCCCAAGAGGCAGAGGGTGAACCCCAGCACCAAAGAGGGGTCTCCCCAAGATCAGGAATAGCCAGAGAAAGTGCCCTCAAAGGATGAAATGACCCAGACTCTGCTCAAACCTCTGGCAAAAATGCTGTCACGTCCCAAGGCAGGCGGGGCCTGTGAGGCAGGAGTCAGTGTCTTCACCAACCACACAAAAAGAAGAGAATGAGCCCTGGAGGTTATTGCCTTGGAGTAGATTTGTGCCTGGACATTTTATGCTTTGTTATTGGTTTTTGGACATAGGGTCTCATGTAGCTCAAGCTACACAAACTCACTACTTAGCCAAGGGTGTCCCTGGACCCCTGATCTTTCCACCTCACCCCTCAGGTACTAGGATTATAGAAATCTATGTGACCCATTGGGTTTAATCAAGGTGGCTTATGTGAGCAGGAGTAGGGGGCTTATTTGCTGGAGGGTGGGCAACTACATCACTGAAGAAAATGATACTGTCTCCCTTAGTGACCATCAGTTGCTGTACCTCAGTGAGGAATAGAGCCTTTTTTAAAGTGTGTGTGTGTGTGTGTGTGTGTGTGAGTGTGTGTGTGTGTGTGTTTAGCTTTTTCAAGACAGGGTTTCTCTATGTAATAGCCTTGGCTGTCCTGGAGCTCACTCTGTAGACCAGGCTGACCTTGAACTCACAGAGATCCTCCTACCTCTACCTCCTGAGTATTGGGATTAAAGGCATGAGCCACCATGCCTGGCTACAATTTGGGGGGAGCAATATTGTTTTATAGGTATGTACACATGTATAAACATACTTGTCAATAAAACATTACTATAGTAAATGTGCAGATGTGTACATTTACATGGGTATGTGTTGATACTTAGGAGTCTCCTCAGCTTTTTTCTAGAAACATACAGAAATAATCATGGGGAAAGTTATCTGGATTTAGGGTTTGCTTTATCATGACACAGATGGGAAAACCGCACACAGGCTGGAACTGGGAGGGAGGGCTGTAATTGGATGTGGGCTGAGGGCTCATGGGTGTGAATTGTTCATTTTTTCCGCTTCTGTGTATGTTCTAAGGTTTTTGAGACAAAAAAATACAAGCAGGGCTGAGGGTGACTGACGCCCAGCTGGTAGAGTGCTTGGTTTTTATCAGTGCTGCAACCTTGTGAGGGTTGGAGAATTGGTTCAGTGGTTAACCTTGTGATGGGGGGGGGGGTGCACACCTTTGCTCCTAGGACTCAGGAGACAGAGGCAAGTGAACCTTAGAGTTCAAGGCCAACCTGGTCTACAGAGTGAGTTCCCAGACAGCCATGGATACACAGAGAAACTCTGACTCAAAGAAAAAGAAAGGAAGGAAGGAAGGAAGGAAGGAAGATTAGCTCTTGCAGAGTGACCTGGGTTTGGGATTAGTGAGATTTAGGCTTCAGGACTGAGCAGGCCTCTGATGGGAAACAGCTGAGGGAAGCTTGAGTGCATGGTTGTTGAGCAGGAGGCCTCAGGCCACAGCTAGCTGTAACAGCACAAACCGTGCCAGGCACTCTGGGCTCCAGGATGACTCATGCTTGATCCTAGGACAAAGACTGGCTTCAGGGGGAGGGTCCTGGCTCGGAACCCATGGGAGAGTGGTGAATGAATGGCCTTCCAGCTTGAATAAGAAGAGCACAGGCACTGGACATGTGTTTCGGAAGCACTGAGTGACCAAAGGGCTCAGGAGCCAGCAAAACAGGTTTCCCCAGGGACTGAGGATAGGGCAGCCAGACGGTCATCCTCCAGGTTCCCCAGACCTTTGCTGAAGTTGTAGGGCACCCACCTGGCCTTCCAAAATGGCTATTCTCTCCTATTCTTCCTGGGTGACCTCAGGCAGGTGTCACACTTCCTGTAGAACTGCATAATGCCACAGAATGGGAGGAAATAGGAAGAGATCTGTTAACTGGTAGCTTCTTGCCATTGTCATCTTCAGCTGCTCCCCCTGGGGCACCAGGGTGACATCAACACTATTAAGATGAAAGCACCCAGAGAGGAGTGCACCCAGAGAGGGACCACAGGGCCCCTCCTTGCAGCTCTTCACAGCCTGTTGTTTGTTTGTTTGTTTTTAAGACAGGGTTTCTCTGTGTAACAGCCCTGGCTCCTGGAACTCACTCTGTATACCAGGATGGCCTCAAACAGATTCACCTGCCTCCTGAGTTCTGGGACTAAAGGTGTGACCCACTACTACCCAGCATAGGAGTGTGTGTGTGCGTGTGTGTGTGTGTGTGTGTGTGTGTGTGTGTGTGTTTTATTTATTTTTAGGGGAAGAGGGGTCCAAGAGACACAGTGTGTTGGATCTCAGAGGCAACTGGAAACAGTCTGTTCTCTGACTGGAGAGATGGTTCAGTGTTTAAGAGCACTTGTTGCATGCTGAGGTAGCATCCCAGGGTTCCCTGCATGCCAGGCAAGCACTGTATCAACTGAGCCGCATCCCCAGACCTGTGATCTGTTTTCAACAACATGTATCTGTCTCCTGACTGCAGTGAACAGGGTTGGGTGCAAGAAAACATGCAGAGAATGGTACCAAGTAAAAGCAATCTCTGAGCCCCATGCAGAAGATGGTGTGTCAGGCCAAGCCACTCCATCCAGGCAGGATCCAGCTCCAGAAACTTCCTGCCTCCCCTGTTGCAGGGCAGGGGCAGGGTAGACATCTCCAGAGGGTAAAGGTCAGAGGTCAGAAGGGTAGAGCAAAACTCTACAGGCTCCTCCCACAGTAGGGAAAGCTGCTTCTGGGACCACTTCCTCTTTTCTCACTCTGAAAATAGGAGCTGCCCTGCAGGGCAGCCAGAAGAGATGGGCACAGATTCCAGGCTGTACTAGTCCTGCCTTACCCCCCCCCCAGGCCAGGGAGTGCACTGGCCAGTTGCCTCCCTCCCAGCTTCTGCTCCCTCCCAGCTTCTGGGGTAGCTGAGGACCACCCTGCAGGCTTGCAGGATGGAGGATGCCAGTGAGGAGAAGCAAGCCTCAGTGTGCAACCTGGTGGCCGTGTTTGAGAACAACAGGTACAGGTGGGGGGTGGAGTGGGGGGGGCAAGCCCTTCTGTTTGCCTGGCTCTTTGGGTCCTGCCCTGGATACCTTCTCCCAGATAGATCCCTCCATGACAGGTGACTGGCAGTACAGGAGCCTGCTCTTGGGGTTCTGAGCTGGAAAGAGTGAACAACCAACATAACATGCATTGGGAGACGCCCAACACACACACACACTCAAACCAGGTCTCAGTTAAGTGGCTGCCATTGAAATGGGAGCAAGAGGGCAGGACACAGATGAAACAGGACTGAACAGGGCGAAGCAGAACCATGCTCACTGTGCCACCGTTTTAAATTCCCTTCTGTACTCACCCTGATGGCCCTAGGGTGTGTCTTGTTCTGTCCCCATCTGTAAGGAAGAAAGAGGAGGCAGAGGTTGGGGGGGCGGGGACCAGGTTCTTTAAATTTCTGAGCTTTGGGGCTTGTGTTGAGGCTTGCATCTGAAGGGGAAGGACAAAGCCAGGTGTCCTGGAGGGATGTGAGTGTGAGACATGAAGCCACTTTGCTGGTCTGTGGTACTGCCCTCTGGAAGCACACACTCAGACAGAGTTTGGCATTGTCAGGAGGCTTGGGGGGAAGCTGTGGGAAGAGAAGCCCAAGAGACAGGGGAGAAGGGGCACGTGGAGAGAGGCTGAGCCCTGCATGTGCTGGTGAGTTCCAGAACCTGGATGCACTTCATTGGTTCTAGCCCAGGCACCCATGCCTCCAGCTGGTAGATTCTGGGTGAGACAACTCTCTTCTCTGGAGGATAGTTCCCAGAAAGGGACTCTGCAAGTGAGTAGCACTCAGCCACCAGTGCTCCTGGCCCTGAGGGGAATACAGTGCAGTCCCCTCCACGATGCAAGGCCGCAGGCTTTAGCTGTCCTCTATGTTGTGTTGGGGGCCTGCCAGCCAAGAGAGCCTCTTCATGGAGTCCCAGATTCACCCCAGCAGTAGTTTCGCTTCCAGAGCTCTGGTAGCTTGACCTTGCCTCTCCAGGGGCTTGGCCAAACTCATACCATTCAGCACCTGGAACAGCTCTTTACCACAGCCTTCTTGGCCCACCCCGCCAGACGTGGGACCACCATACCTAGAGTGCGGGAGGGTAGGTAGGCTCATACGGGTGCCAGCCTTTGGGATACTGAGCCGTGCCAGGCTGCACCCTGAGGTGGAGTAGCCCTAGACAGGGGGAGGTCCCAAGAAGCGTGTTCAGGGATGTGGGATCCAGCCTAGGGAGCAAGGACTACCAGGCAGACTTCTCTGTGGGGCCCTGGGCACCTAGCTGATCTGAAACTAAGGCCTGGGGAGGAAACAGCTACAGGCCTGAGTGCTTAGAAATGCAGAAGCTAAAACCAAATGTAGAAGAGAAAACCTGAGACTCAGCACACTCCTCCCCCTCACCTCACCCTACCCCCCCCCCCCGCCTTCCCTCAGTTTTGTGTGCCTGGAATGGGCCCCAATATTTCTTCCACCCTCTGCCAGACCCTGTGACTTGGGCAATCGCCTCAGTTCTCGAGAGAAAAGGTACCTTATTGTGGAGTTTGGACCCTAGCCTGCCCGATTTGAACCCCATCTGTGCCACTTCTGCCTCAGTTTCCCACAGGTGCAGCATGGATGCAATAATGCCTGGTCTCTTTGGATTTCGGAGGCTTTTTACCTGTCCTCTGTCTTTTTTACCGGGATGCCTACCTGGCGTTGTCCCCCTGGGTAGTCTCCCTGCACTTGCTTAGCAGGGACAGCGCAGCCAGTGCAGGTTTCTCTGGCCTGCAGGACTGGTACATGTAGCACACTAAAACCTGCCCTGTGAGGGCCGAACGGGAGGGGTGCAGCCCTGCTCCCCAGGCTGTTGTTGTCCCCTGGTGATGGTGTGAAGGGCACAGGTTGCCCTGAAAAGCCCCAGGTTGGCATCTGTGCCCTCATTCTGTGTTATCCTATAGCTCCTACCTTCCCTTAATGATCAAGAGAGGTACAGAGATTAAAGAGGGGTGAGGCGGAAAGGCAAGGGTGATCCCGAAGAAGATCCAGGAGAGCTGTGGGCCAAGGGGGTGGGGAGGGTCTCTCCACGTGGTTGCATTTGAAATAGGGAAGTATATAGTTCCCCAAAGAATAAAATAGTCCACAGTGACTCATTGAGAGGGCTGATAGAGTTCCCTCCCAGAAGGGTGTTGGTGGTGCAGGGGTTTGGGTCAGCTGCTAGAGTGCTTGCCTAACTAGCATACACAAAACCCCGGGTTCCATCGCCAACACTATGTAAACTAGGCAGTTATTCATGCCTACAATCCCAGTACTAGGAAGATGGAGGCAGGAGGGCCAGGAGTCCAAAGTCACCTTCTACTATAAAGGGGGGTTAAAGCCAGGCTGTGACACATGAGATCCTGGCTCAAAAGAGAGGGGACAGGAGGGCTGAGGAGAGCTGTGGAAGTCTTGACAAGTCCCTACACTGTGCCAGGCACTTGGGGGGTCTGTGAATACCAGTGACTCACACCAGTCATCCCAAGGGGACCCTCAAACCTCATTTGTTCTTAACAGGACCCTGAGAACAACACCTGAACCCCATAGCGTTGATGAACAGCCTAATATCCCTGATCACCAGCTGTCCCTGTCCCCAGGGCCTTGGGAAGCACCTCCTATTGAGGAGGCCTTGAAGTCTGAGGTCCGTCCAGTCAGCAGGACATATCTGAACTCCCTCAAAAATAAGCTCTCAAGTGGGGCATGGAGGAAAACCTGCTCGCCTGAGCCCAGCCCAGGGCCAGAGACACAGGTGAGGCATTTAGCTCAGAACTGCTGGCTCTGATGGGGATGGGCAGGAGGACCCCTCCATCTCTCTTCCTCTTTCTCCCTCCTCTCCCTTTTCCTCCTCCTCTTCAAGTCAGGATCTTGTTGGATGGTGGTGGCACACGCCGCCTTTAATCCCAGCACTCCTGAGGCAGAGGCAGGCAGATCTCTGTGAGTTCAAGGCCAGCCTGGTCTACAAAGTGAGTTCCAGGACAGTTGGGACTGTTACACAGAGAAACCTTGTCTGGAAAAAAGGAAAAAAAAAAAAAAAGACAGACTCTTAGAATGGATCCCAGACTGGCCTTGAACTCACACTCTCCTGCACTCACATCCTCTCCATTCCTAGTGCTGGGGTCATAGGTATGCTCCACAGGCCTAACTCCCCTCCCTTTTTTGTTTGTTTGTAGAAGACAGGGTTTCTCTGTGGTTTTGGAACCTGTCTTGGAAATAGCTCTGTAGACCAGGCTAGCCTTGAACTCACAGAGAACCACCTGCCTCTGCCTCCCAAGTGCTCGGATTAAAGGCATGTGCCACCAACGCCTGGCATAACTTTCCCTCTTCTTATAAGACCACAAACCACAGTGGTTTGTGGCCCACCTTTATGACCTAATGTAACCTTGATGGCTTCCCAACCCTGAAGAGCCAGGGGATGGCTCAGCTGGGAAACCAGGACCTTTCTGCTCCATATGTCTTCCTTTCTCTGTGGCCTTCTAGAGAACTCCCCAGCAGGCAGCCAGGTCTCCTCCCAGTGGCTCCTTAGCTCCTCCTGGCTTCCATGAAAGCCCTGGTGGAGGCTCCCTAACCTTAAGGCTCAGCCCAGGAACTGGGCACCTCTCTAGGCTGTATTCTGAGAAGGCTGGTCTGAGGTCAGACCTGCTGTGCTGTGGGAAAGCAGGGACACCAGAGGGTGTGCTCATTGGGCATAGTCACAGTGTCTTCCGAGGAGTGGCATGCCAAGATGTCCATCCTTCTCCCCACCTGTAGGATTACGAGGAAAAGAGGGTTGTGCAGGAACTTCTGGAGACAGAGAAGGCCTACGTGGCTCGCCTGCACCTGCTTGACCAGGCCAGTGGAGACTCCCCAACACCCTCCATATCAAGAACGCTGACACCAGCCCAGGGTTTGGCTTTGGCTCAACCCACTGACCCTGTTGGGTGGGGTTGGGGCAGCATCGGGACTGAGCCTTTTAGCACCTCAGGCATTGCCTTTTTTCCTGGTCAGCCTCATATATGGCATCCCTGTCTGGTTTCCCCTTTGGTTGCCCTCACCAGACACACATACTTTCTTATGGTGCTTCAGCCAAGGGAAGTCCAAGGCCTCCAATGACACAGGTTGGGCTGGGCTGTTTCCCTTGTTCCCTTGGCCAAGTCCTAGGGACTTCCTGGCTTGTCTGCCCAACAGGAATCCATTCTTCCCTGGCCATCTCTCCCCAGGGCGTGGCAAGGATGCAAACCTGACTCTGCTGGAGCTGTGCTGTCCCCCCTGGGCCCCTGGGGCTGGTGGGTGGTGCAGAGTGTGAGCTGGCACTGATCCCCTGTACAGGTGTTCTTCCAGGAGCTTCTGAGGGAGGCAGGGCGCAGCAAGGCTTTCCCGGAGGACGTGGTGAGGCTCATCTTCTCCAACATCTCCTCCATCTACTGCTTCCATGCACAGTTCTTCCTCCCAGAACTGCAGCGGCGTGTGGATGACTGGTGAGGTCATAGGTCTCAGTGCCTCAGCTTGATCAGGGGTCACAGGCCCAGGGTGAGGAGCCTGTGAGGGAGGCCCATGCACTTATGTATAATTCTGGCCATGGCTGAGTCCTACAGCAGGGGGCAGTCCTAGGACCTGTGACTTAAGAGGCCTTGGATGTCATGCCACTGACTGGGCCCCTGGCCTTGATCTTGGCATCTTTAACTGTGTGGTTTTCCAGTCATCTATGTGATGTTCCCGTCGTTGTTATACAAGAAGCCCAAGCCATAACTCCAGCATCCACGTGTTGGCTCACAACCATGTGTAGCTGCAGTTACAAGCAGGCCAGTAGTCCTCTTTTGGCCTCTGTGGGCACCAGACATGCACACATACCCGTGTGCATACATACATGCAGACAAAACGCTGGTACACATAAAATAAGAAAATCGAAAGAGAGAAGACAGAGGACAGAAGGCTGGCGAGACTGCTCAGTGTTGAGCAAGCCCTCAGACCTGAATTTAATTGTTGGGACTTTCAGGGAAAGAAGAGAACCGATCCCCAAAATTGTCCCCCAATTGTGCCACCAGCACACCTACACACCACACATGATGATAGTGAATAAAATAAACTTTAAAGAGAGAGAGTGTGGGTTGAAGGCTAGCCTGGTCCACATGATGAGACCCTATCTCAAACACAAAGGAACGAAAAGTAGGGCATGGACCCCTGCCTGTAAGGCCACCCATCACTCCCACAGCAGGAATATCAAGAGCTGAGTGAGGCAGGCAGCCGTGTGGGCAGCCCTGTCACTAGCCTGCAATGTCAGCTACACAGTGCCCTCTACAGTCCCACCCAGGCCTTGTTGGACCTCACAGGGAGGCTAGCTAGGGACCAGGAGCACAGAGTCTAAGGAGGACTCCGATGGGACCCTGGGGGGGGGGTCACTCTCTCCTGCACCTGCTCCAAGAGTACTGGAAATGCTGTTTGGGGCAGGGGAGCCTGGGAAGCCTGGCTCAGGAGCTGAGAGAGGAGGCAGCTAGGCTGAGAGCATTGCCTCCCTGACTCAGGACAGCCACACCCCGCATTGGGGATGTGATCCAGAAACTGGCCCCGTTCCTGAAGATGTATAGTGAGTATGTGAAGAACTTTGAACGCGCAGCCGAGCTGCTGGCCACCTGGATGGACAAGTCTCAGCCCTTCCATGAGATTGTCACCCGCATCCAGGTGAGGGGCGCAGGGGCAGAGCCTGCACAGCCACCTGGTGGGGGGGGCTGCCTCATCTTCCCCTCAGCGATTTGGACATCCTCAGGCCTGGCGCCCCACTCAGGCCAGGCGCACCATTCTGCGTTCCCTCATCTTCCTGCCCCTGCTCTCTGCTCCCCAAGCTCAGCGAGGCCTCGGGCAGCCTGACCCTGCAGCACCACATGCTGGAGCCCGTGCAGAGAATCCCGAGGTATGAACTGCTGCTCAAGGAATATGTGCAGAAGCTGCCAGCCGAGGCCCCAGACCGTGTGGACGCCCAGAGTGAGGACACCATGGGTCCCAGGGAGTTGGGTGGCGGGTAGGGGAGACTGGCCACTGCCATGTGCATACGGAGGACCCACTAAAATAGTTCTCATGACCTATCATTGCATCAATCACTGGCACTTCATACATGTTATCCACATCACAGCCATGGTTAATAGACAGGAAGTTAAGTGACTTTGCCAGGGACACATAGTCCAGAAAGGAGCCAAGCTGAAATTTGAATCTACATCTCTAAGGTGTATCCTTTAGGTCTGGCTTTGTGCTGGGAGTAGAGATTATCGCTGAAGCCATACACCTAAGTGACACAGCTTCCCAATGGCCTCAGTGTTGCTATCCCAGTAGGCTCCCATTTTCTAGACACACTATGCATGGGCAGGGCTGTGCCTGATGGTGGTTGTAGCAGGTCCCCTAGGCCCCATTGTAGAGACCCAGTCCCATGCTGCAGGTCTCCAGGAATAACTGGAACCTTGTCCCTTGCTAGGAGCACTGGACACAATCTTCTCAGCTGCACAGCACTCCAACGCAGCCATTGCAGAGATGGTGAGCAGCCTGTCCTTAGGGTGGACATGGGGCATCTCGGACACATTCTGTCTCCCAGTCCTTGTATCCACTGATCTTGCCCTGGGTACCTGTCCCACGCTGCCTCCTTGCCTCCGGTTCCCTCATCCATCCCCACCAGGCACATTCTCAAGGAGCTGGGACCCTGCCCAGCATAGGCTGAAGGTGTGCCCCATCTCCAGGAGCGGCTGCAAGGCCTGTGGGAGGTATACCAGCGCCTGGGCCTGGAGGATGACATTGTGGACCCCTCCAACACCCTGCTCCGAGAGGGCCCTGTCCTCAAGATCTCTTTCCGCCGCAGTGACCCGATGGAGCGCTACCTGTTTTTGGTAGGGGCTGCTGGGCTTCAATGTCAGGTGTGCCCCGAGAAGCAGAAATCAGAGTCTGAGGCCTGGCTGGCTTCACGGCCCGTGCCACTCCTCTGTGCTCTAAAGACAGTGCAGCAGGAGGGAATTAAGTTAGCTGCCAGGAAGATCTGTTGGGCTGACCCTGGAGAAGCAGTGTTGCTACTTCAAGGTCTATACTCCCCACCCCCAATCAGCTCCCTGGCTCCTCTGGCGACTCAGGGTAGAGGGGCTCTTCAGAGTCTATTGGTGCAACTGGGGGCTAGACAGCCATATCCTTACCCCTTCCAGTTCACCTGTGATGACCTGTGAGCCAGCCTAGAATGTGGCCAGAGGAGAGGGGAGGGATTATAGCCAGATCACCTGAGAGATCCTGAGCTGCTACCCATACTGCCCATGTCTTCCCAGTTCAACAACATGCTGCTGTATTGTGTGCCCCGCGTGCTCCAAGTGGGTGCCCAGTTCCAGGTGCGGACCCGCATCGACGTGGCCGGCATGAAGGTGAGCCGAAGGGGCCCAGTGTCAGTGAAAGTGGCAGGCAGAGCAGGTCCTTGATGGGAAACAAGGGTGGAGCTCTGCTGTCTGGCCCTTGTGAGGGCAGCATAGCTTATCCTGGGGCAGCACACAACCCTGGCAATGCCACAGTGCTTTCTTTGCTAAGAAAGAGGAGGAGGAAAAGGAGACAAATGCTACACAGACCAAAGGAGATTCACAGCCCAGCATGGTGGCTCACACCTGTAATCCCAGCACTTGGGAAGCTGAGACAGGATTGCTGCAAATTCAAGGACAAGCTGGATTTCTCTGTGAATTTCAGGCCAGCCTGTGGTACACAGAGAGACCACCTCAAAAAACTAACAGAGTTCATAATGTAGCTCAGTTGGTAGAGAGTTTGCCTCACATTCCCAGAACCCTGGATTGGATCACCAGTAGCCCAGATGTGCTGTCAGACCTGGAATCTCAGCTCTTGGCAGGTGGTGGTAGGGAGGTCGGGAGTTCCAGGCCCCCCTTGGCTACACAGTGAGGTTAATGACTACTAAGACCACATGAGACCCTGCCTCAGAAAAAGGTGGTCTGAGAAGGCCATGCATATCTTGTGTGCCTTGCTCTTGAATGCCACCATCTGGCTAGCCTGTCTCACTTACTAGCAGCCTCATAGCACCCTCTGCTGGATGTTGCTGGGCATGGCGGGTGAGGAGCAGTCTATTACTAATGGAAACCATTTCTGAGATGGGTTTGAAGGAATCTGACCTGAACCACCCTGGTCATTCTACTGGCCTATGATGTGGTACCAGGACCACACAGTTCTCACAAAGTGATTGGGTACACGGTCTGAGCTGGTTCTGCAAAGAAAAATTTCCAGATACCTCATATCCAACCAGACAGGTTGGACACTGCACAAGGACACCGCATCGCAGAGGTGCCACCTGTAGCCAACTGGTGACATGGTCATAGCTTGCATATCTATAGTGAGAGCTGACCGGCAGGTGGCAGTCAAGTGTCTTGTTCTAAAAAGATCTGGAGATGAGCCAGTTGGCCAGCAGATGCCAGGAAAGCCTTCTGAAGCAGGGAGTCCTTTGGTGATGGGCACAAAGAACTGTGTGGGATGGAAGGGCCCTGAATGGAGCCAGACCTAGAGAGGGTGGCTAGGATTGCCCAGCAGGGTTTGGAAAACCGATGGCTCTAATGCAGATCCCAGGGCATCTGGACTCAGGCAGGGAATCCCCTGGGGTTCCCCTTTCCTCTCAAAGTTCTCTATTCCTTCCTGCCCTGAACCCCAAGCTTTGGGCTTCCACCTTCTTTTCCTGATCTCTCCTCTGACAGGGGTTACAGAGACTGCCCAGGCCTCTCGTGCTTTTCCCTCGGTGGGGCCACCTTCTCTCCCCGGTGTATCTGTCCTTGGCATTGCATCAGGCCCAAAGGCCTGAGCTACAGAGCTGCAGAGAATGGCTCTGCCCCCATTTCACCCAGGCTCTGTCACGCATTCCTCGTGCATACAGCCTCCGCCATCCCCAGGTCTTCCCCCAGGCAGGAGATGGGGTCCAGACCACACCTAGCCCTTCCCAAATGACAGACTGTGCAGAGAAGTCTGGCCACTACAGGGCTGTAGGAAGGAAATCCCCAGGTCTGTCTTGGGCCAGTCTCTCTGCACGTGGCCTGGGGCAGATCTCTCTCGGTTGGCGGGACTTTGTGGGAGGGGTGAAGATGGATATTCACCCAACTTCACTCTTGATGACAAAAACCCAGTTTTAGGTGCTTCATTTTGCCCCTTATGTGCTGAGTGACCTCAGGCAGATCTCATGCCCATTTTGAGCTTTCAGATCCAGTGTCATGTAAATAAGGATGAGATTCACTTCCCAGGGTTCCTTTGAGAACGACTGTGCTTTTTATTATGAGACTATTTAAGCTATGAAAACAGTCCAATAAGCTCTTATAGACTCATCTTATTTTGAGGTCCAGTTTATCTTTCTGGTAACTCTTTGGAACTGTCCCTCCACCACTTCACACCGGGTCATCTTTGGTGCTGCTGACAGAATTCTGAAGCCTTCAGTCCCATTTGCCCAGAGCCAGGTGCAGGAGCAGCTGCCTGACCCTGGCAGGTTAGAGCAGCTTCTGCCTGCAGTACTGGACTGTGATGCTCCTTCCTCCACTGGCAGGTACGGGAGCTGACTGACGCTGAGTTCCCACACTCCTTCCTGGTGTCTGGAAAACAGCGCACATTGGAGCTGCAGGCCCGGTAGGCAATAATGGTCTAGGGCTACGGAGAGGAGCGGACGGGGCCGGTGGGTACCATCCTCTGCATTGTGTTCTCTTTTCTTCGGAGCAGGTCCAGAGAGGAAATGATCTCCTGGATGCAGGTATGGACATTCAAGGCTTCCAGGGGAGTCTGAGCCTAGCCTACTTGGGAGGAGGAAGAAAGGGAGTATGTGTGTGTGTTCCAATGAGTGGGTGCGCCCAGCTGCCCCCTCTTCCTGTGGAGTTTGAAGTCAACACGGAATTCAGATCCTGCTGTGTCCCATTGCCTTACTGGGTAATCTGGAGCAACCCCTATACTTTTTTTGAGACTTGGTTTTGTCATGTGTAATCTAGAGCTAACTGCTTCCCCTTTGTGCAGTTCAGAGTCTGGGCCTACTGCAGGCCATTTTTAGCAAAATGTGTTGGCTGTGGGTGGGTGAGACGCCTGGGGAGGTTCTGATCTCCCACGCCCTCCTCTACTCAGGCCTGCCAGGCAGCTATTGACCAAGTTGAGAAGCGGAGTGAGACCTTCAAGGCTGCTGTCCAGGGACCTCAGGGGGACATCCAGGAGCCCAAGGTAATAGGACCCTCTGTACCACCACCAACTACCCTTCCGCCAGGCCTAGGAACAAAGAGTGTTCCCTCCCAAACTGACCCGATATCACCCTCAGATGACCCAGGATCAGAGCTGCCTAGTTAGTAAAGTCTGTCTTTGAGCCAAGAGGATCAGAAGTTCAAAGTTGTCCTCTGATACTTAGTGAGGTCAAGGCCAGCCTGGGCCACATGAGACCCTAACTCAAAATACAAAATACAAAAATAAAATTAAAAACCTCTGCCTTTAGCTAAGCATGGCAACAGGCCTTAAATCCCTGTTCTGTGAGTTCGAGGCCAGCCTGGGTCTACACAGTGAGTTCCAGGCCAGCCCGAACTACATAGTGAGACCCTGCTTCAAAAACAAGTAAAGCAAAAATTTCTGCTGCTGGAGGGTTGAGTGAAGCTGTGTGAGGGCCAGGGAAGAGCCCTGCACAGCCAAGGCCTAACAACTGGACCTGGGCCTATCAGAGAAGTGTGGAGAGTAGGAGGCAAATGAGACTTTTGTATCTCAGCTCTGAACTCTGACTTTCCAGGTGAGGATCCTGAGTTGTTTGATCTCTCTGGGTCTGTTCCCTTCCCTAGGCAGTAAGAGTATTAGCAGGAGCCTGGCATTGGTGACGCACAACTTTAGTCCCAGCACTTGGGAGGCAGAGGCAGGCAGATCTCTCAGTTCAACCTGGTCTATAAGAGCTAGTTCCAGGACAAGCTCCAAAGCCACAGAGAAACCCTGTCTAGAAAAACAAAACACAAAACAAACAAACAAACAAAAGCATTAGCAGGTAAACTACCTCAGGCAGAAGCTGCAGGGCTCCCAAGGGTGCCAGGTGCCTTGCGGTGCCGGCCGCCAGCTGTTCTCCTCCCTCAGCCACAGGCAGAGGAGCTGGGCCTCCGAGCCCCTCAGTGGGTTCGGGACAAGATGGTGACCATGTGCATGCGCTGCCAAGAGCCCTTCAATGCCCTGACGCGTCGGCGCCACCACTGCCGGGCTTGTGGCTACGTGAGTACACCTGCAGGGACTGGGGACAGGACCCAGGACCTGCCTTTGACCTTGTCGTTCCTGCCTCCAATGTCAGGCTCCAACTGGACCCAGTCCTGGCCATCTCTCCAGCCTCGGCTGACACTGGGTGTGTCCACTGCCCTGTCCCTGCAGGGCCCACCTACGATGAAGCAGTGTGCTGCTTCCCTGCCACAGGGACAGGAGGTGGCCCACAGAGGTGAATTGACTTCCTTCCCGAAGCCTCCTTTGGTGGCCCTCCTTTAGCCATCTTTTCTCAAGGCTCCAGCCCTAGAACTGAGAGGGTCTCTATCCCCAGGTGGCACCCACCCACTACCTTGCCATGTAAGGATGGAAAATTTTAGCCTAACTCTCCCTAGACTCTGCCCCCTAGCAGTGAGTAGGCAAAAGGTCATTCTTGACTGTTTATAACAGGGCGGTTTACGACAGCACCTGTGAGTGAATGAACACAGAAAATGAGCTGTGCCACACTACCCAGAAGCCCTAGCGAAAGCAGACTTCCTGGGCTAAGCGCGGGCTTGGATAGTTCAAATTGATTGGTCCACGCTGGATGCTATGAGATGATTGGTTTGTGAGGCACAGGCTTTGTTGTAACCCTATAAAAGCTGTCTGAACCCTGTCCCCAGGGTTCCCAGTCCTCTACCCCATGTGGAGTATGGCTGTGGACCCCAGTGCACTGGAATATAAAAGACCTCTTGCTTTTGCATCAAGACCGCTTCTCATTAGTGATTTGGGGGGGGCACCTTTCCTGAGTCGGGGCGTGAGGGTCCACGCACTCTGAGGGTCTTTCAGCCAGTCCCACCATCTGGCATGCACCCCAACCTCGTTCTCTCCCCTCCTCTCATGTGTTGCGAACACCACCTTCTTGAGCAGGCCTCAGTTTCCCTACTTGTCCTAAAGTATAATGTTATTTGGGAGGTAGAAACAGGAGGGTCAGGGGTTATAGCCAGCCTGAGCTGCAGAGAAAGAGCCAGTGTTAAGTCTTTAACAACAATATGCCATTGAGATGGCTCAGAGGGTGATGGCATTTGCTGCCAAGCCTGAGTTTGATCCCTGGAACTTATAGAGTAGAAGGGAAGGGCTGATGCTGTAAAGTTATCCCAGCTTCCATGAAACAGGGTGCACATGCGTGCACACACACACACACACACACACTCATCATGCTCATGCACACACATACACTCATTCATGCTCATCCATGCTAAATGTAAAAATAATTATAGCAATTTAACACAAAACCAAATGTACTTGTGCATGTGTGTAATCTTAGCTTGTGGAAGTAGGGGAACCAGAAGTTCCAGGTCATCCTGGAGCATAGTTACCTGAGACCCTGCCTCAGAAAGGCAAATAAGGTTGATGAAGAAACAGATATATATTGAATGATTCTGTGAAACTAATTTGTCAATAAAGCAGGAGAGAGATGGCTCAGGACTTAAGAGCACTTGCAGAGGACACCAGCTCCAGGGGATCCGATACCCTCTTCTGGCCTTGGCAAGCACCCACACGCATATGCACACACTCACACATATGCACAGAAATAGAAATAAATGTTTAAATTTCCTAATAAAAGCATACTATTAGCCAGGCGTTGGTGGCATACACCTTTGATCCCAGCACTCGGGAGTCAGAGGCAAGTGGATCTCTGTGAGTTCAAGACCAGTCTGATCTACAAGAGCTAGTTCCAGGACAGCCTCCAAAACCATAGAGAAACCCTGTCTCAAAACAACAACAACAACAAAAAAGCGTACTACCCTCCCAAGGCAGGCATCCCTGGGTGTCCTCATCCCATCCGGACTCCAGGGTGTCTGGGGCCCGTGCGTGTCCTTCTTTAGGAGCCAGTGAGTCACCCTTTCATTTCGTGCTTAGCTGCCAGTTTCTGTCTCCCCTTTCTGCCTCGGGTACTCTGTGAGGGCGGGGTTCACAGTGACTCCCTGAGAGTGGCCACACCCAACAGGCCCGGGGCACCCCAGCGTTCCTCGGAGTCACTCTCATAGCAGTTTCTCCTCACACCTCCCCATTCCTCCTTACCTAGTATCACTGAACACCCTTCATGCGCCTTTACGGGTCAGATGGGGTAGCTGGCCTCCCCAGGGGTCTCCTGGGCAGACCTTTCTGCCCCTCGTTCTATAGCAGGACAGACTCCAGCAAGGTGAGACAGACTTACTGTTTTTTTGTTTTTGAGACACAGTCTCATAGTCCAGGCTGGCCTTGAACTTTTCCCCCTCTGTATTCCCCTACTCAGCCACCATAAAACAGACAGAACATGCAAGGAAGCTTTATTTTTTCTTGCAGATGTAATGTGGCCTTGAACATTTTAACCTCCTGCCTGTACCCACAAAGGCTGGTATTACAGGCATGCGCTATGACACCTGCTTTATGTGGTGCCAGGGACTGTACCAGAGCTTTGTGTGTGCAATCACTCTATGGCCTGAACTACATCTCTAGTTCTACACTGTGGGACTGTAAAGACACTGAGAGTGCCTGGGCTGCCAGTTAGCTGTGTGGTCTAACCAAGTCACTTTCTCCTGTGAGTCACTCTGCCCTTGTCATTGCATCAGGGGAGGACAGAGTCCTGGCCTTGCTGGGGCCAGTGAGGTTCTGGCATCTATGGGTCCTCCTGCTGAGCCCCCGGGGACCCAGCCCCATGAGAGAGGCTCACGGAGAGAGAGTCATTAGGTGTGCAATGGGCTGGGTCTTGAAACCTCGGCCTTCTGTCTGGACTCCTGTGGCCATACTTTCTTCCCCCTGCTGCCCCCATCCTCAGGTGGTGTGTGCCAAGTGCTCCGACTACCGCGCAGAGCTGAAGTATGACGGCAACAGGCCCAACCGAGTCTGCCTGGCCTGCTTCACATTTCTTACTGGAAACGTACTCCCTGACAGCAAGGAGGACAAGAGGCGGGGCGTCTTGGAGGTGAGGGCTGGAGGCACCCGTCCCCCTTCCCTTTCCAGAAGGCTCTGCCCTAGGTTCTGAGAAAGAAGCTGCCATGTCTCTCCTTCCCTCATCTTTCTACCCACAGGCAACCCCTCTCCTCCAGTCCAACCACACCAGGCCTGACAACAGCCAGAAGTGGCTTTGGACTGTAGGTCACTACCCAATCTCTTCCACTCCTCCATCCAGTAATAGCATGGCCCATCTCTTGCAGTTCACATTCCTAGGGCCCAACCTGGAGGCTCTGCAAATCAAATCAAAGACAGGAGTGTTTTTTTTTTTTTTTTTTTTTTTTTTTTTGGTTTTTTTGGTTTTTTGACACAGACTTTCTCTGTGTAGCTTTGTAGACCAGGCTGGCCTTGAACTCACAAAGATCTGCCTGCCTCTGCCTCCCGAGTGCTGGGATTAGAGGCATGTGCCACCACTGCCCAGCTGTCCCTGATCTTGATAGATAGAAATGCCCAGGCTCCAGTCAGGCAGACTGCAGGCATTGTTCTAACTGGGAGGGACCTCGGAAAACTGACCCATCATACAGCTCTTTCTGGTCTCTAATCTGAGTACCACCTTCAAGGCATCCCAGGAACACTCCCCATTCCATAAGCACTTGCTGTGGGTACCAGTCATGTTCATCTTTGAATCTCAAATGCAATGTTAAAACCCAGACACTAGCTACCCTATCCCCCTTCCCCAGGAAAGCCTGAGTGACACCCCACAGTCACTTGGGAAAGAGAAAAGCTGACCAAGACTCATTCCCACAAGCAAGTTGGCTTCTTCTCATGGACTTCACCCTCTTGCCATTCCATGTGTCCCCTCAGATCAGCCCCCAACTGGGCAAAAAGCCTACTTCTGGAGTCTCATACCTGGCAGGCCCCAACTCTGTCCCTTGAGTAGCTCAGGATGACAGCCCTGACTCTGGAACCTGCCTGTAAGCACACACACCTCATCACTCCCACAGCTCTGCATGTTGTTAGCCAGCCAGGGTGAACCTGGGCCACATGGTGGGGTGTTTCCATGCTCCAGAGATAAATGAAGTGTTTGTTCCTTGTAGTAATGTAGGGATTAATTAAGGGAGGCTGGACATAGTGGCACACATCAGTTTTTGTGTTTTATGTTTTTTGTCTTGTTTTGTTTGTTTTCCAAGACAGGGTTTCTCTGTATTGCTTTGGAGGCTGTCCCAGGGTTTCTCTTGGAGGCTGTCCTCAAACTCACAGAGATCTGCCTGCCTCTGCCTCCCAAGTGCTGGGATTAAAGGGATGTGCCACCAATGCCCAGTGATAGCATACATCTTTAATCCCAATACTCAAGAGGCTGAAGCAGGTGGATCTCAGTGAGTTCAAGGCTAGCCTGATCTGCAAAGCAAGTTCGAGAATAGTCAGAGAAGCTACACAGAGAAACTCTGTCTTGAGAAACAACAACAACAACAATGACTGTCAGGAGTGGTGGTACACCTACTTCCCTAGAATCTGGGGGTGCAGAGAAGAGGACCAGGGGTTCAAGGTCATCTCCTGCTACATACAAAGTTTTAGGTTAGCCTGGGCTATGTGGGCCTCTGTCTTAAAAAGAAAGAAACAGCAGTGATGGTGGAGCCCGCCCCTGACATCTTGTGGGCATCTGTCATCTACCTGGCTGTCATTGCTACTTTCAGAAAGAATCCTTGGCAGGGCCTGACCAGAGTCTGCTGTGCAGCTTCCTGCAGCTCCTGGGGGACAAGTGGAGCAGGATCGGTCCCCGGGGCTGGTGTGTGATCCCTCGGGATGACCCCCTCGTGCTGTACATCTATGCAGCCCCCCAGGTATGCCATGCCTGCCCCACCCAGGCATCCTCATTGGCGCAGGGTAGGGGAAATCGGGGCTTGAAGTACTATTTGCCCTAAGGGAAGATGGGGAAACTGGAGTCCACTGGGGGCATGATGTTCTCAAGCTATAGGTTCCCGGGTTTCAGAGCGGGGCCCAGTAGCAGTTCTCAGCTGTTCTGCCCTCAGGAAGGCCCAGCCTTCCCTTCTCTTCCTCCTCCATCAGTCAGGGGGTCTCTGGTATGAGCAGGGTGGTGTGGCTGCTGGAAGTGAGGCACAGTAGTGCATGGCTTTCTTCTCCACCAGGACATGAAGGCTCACACCTCCATCCCCCTGCTGGGCTATCAGGTGATTGCAGCACCCCAGGGGGATCCTCGGGTTTTCCAGCTGCAACAGTCAGGCCAGACGTACACCTTCAAAGCAGAGTCTAAGGAGCTGCAGGGCCGCTGGGTGAGGGCTGTCAAGCGTGCGGCCAGTGGCTGGACCCCTGAGGAACCTGAGGAAGAGGACATGTCTGACTGAACCACAGCTGGCTCAAGAACCTTGCCCATGGCAGCCTTCCCTGGCTGACCCCGCCGCTCTGTCATTCCACCCCAAGCTGAGTTACTCTGACCCATTCTATCATCTATGCTCAGATGTTCATCTTGACTCTGCATCCGGTAGATATGGGTCCTTTCCTTCAGGAAAATGTAACTAAGTGTCCCAGCTGGCTGGAGGCTAGGGCTCCCTGAGCCATGAGATCTTCATTGCTGAAACAAAGAAGTGTGACCAGTGTTGTAGCTTAGTGGGTAGAGCACCTGCCTAGCCCATATGAAGCCCTGAGTGGGGTCCTGAGCATGACACAAACTGGCCGTGGTGACTCGTGCCTGTAGATAGAGGAAGAGGAGTACCAAAAGTTCAAGGTCACCCTTGCCTACATAATGAGTTACAGACCAGCCTGGGCTGCATGCACGCATGCACACACACACACACACACAATCAACATAAGCCAATAAGCCAGTGGTGAACTGGACAGTGGTGTCACATACCTTTAATGGGAACACTGGGGAGACAGTGGCAGGTGGAACTCTGCATTCAAGGCCAGGCTGATCTACAGAGTGAGTTCTGGGACAGTCAAGGCTATACAGAGAAACCCTGTCTCAGAAAAACAAACAAACAAAAAAATCAAAATAAAATATGTGAAGTCCCAGGTACCCAGGACTGTTGGTGCCCTAGTGAGGGTCTCAGCCCAGGCTGTGAATTAACCACCTAGGAAGCCTTGAAAAAAGCTGTGAAAAACAGATACCAACTAACTTTGAAATTAAACCTTGTCCATGTCTACTAGGAAGGCTTTTGATTTGCTTGGTCTGGGAAGAGGGAGGCAGGGGAACTTGGGGTACCTCCCCCGAGGGCAAGGTGCCCTGGGCTGCATGGCTGGGGAGGAAACAAAGATACTGGGGTACCTGCCAAAGCCAGTGGGACCAGCAGTAAACTCCCATGGAGCCTCTGTGTGTGTGCTTGCGTGCGTGCATGCATGTGTGTGTGTGTGTGTTTTGAGTCAGGGTCTTACTGTGTGGCTCTGTAGCCCTGGCTGGCCTAAAACTGGCTATGTAGATCAGGCTGGCCACACAGAGAAGCCCCTGCCCCTATTGGGATTACAGGCACATGCCAGCAACGCACTGGATGTTTTATCTAGGCTATCTCAGTCATGATAGCTAAGACTCTCATTTTCCAGATGAGGACATCTACACAGGGAGGTTTACTGATTGTCTCTGGGTCACACTGCCAGGGGGTATGAGAGCAAGGCATTATCTCAGTGAAATGAAGGCAGAGAAAGGAGGAGGAGGGAGGAGACGAAAAGGATTCCTCTGTCCAGCCCCACCCCTTCTAGTACCGGTGATGCTTGCAGTCAGTGAGATGGCTCCACAGGAAAGATCACTTGCCACCAACTCTGACCACCTGGGTTTGAACTGATTACTGCACATTGTCCTCTGACTGCTACATGTGTACACACACCCCCATCCCCAGCAAACAAATAAATATGGAAAAATATGTTTACACTGTCTTAGCCTAGCAGTCTGTCTGGTGCCGGCAGTAGTGCAGGGGGCTTTTAAAGCCTGAACCCCCTGATGGTATCCCTGTGAGGACCAGGCAGGCCAGAAGTTCGTTCCTTTGGTCATTCGTTCAACAAACGCTGAACATCTTCTGAGAGTCAGATTTGTTACAGACATACCAACAGTCCAGCCCCCAGGCCCTTCATCCTTAAGTGTGTGTGGAGCTGGGGCTGGGGCGGGGGCAGGGGGTAGTACATGAGTGCAAACTAGAGTATGCCAGATGCCACATGCTTGAATGAAGTAGCTAGACATACTCTATATCTCTGACATTAAACTGGAAGTCTAAATAAATAATACATCTTGAGAAGAGGGTCTATGCTAGGTGTGTTGTCCCACACCTTTAATCTTGGCACTCAGGAGGCAGGGGCAGGTGGGTCTCTGTGAGTTCGAGGCCAGCCAGAGCTACATAGTGAGTCCATGTCCATCAACAGATGAATGATGTAAAAAATGAGTTACATAGGCACAGGGGAACTTTATGCAGCAACCAAGAACAATGGAGCCATAACATTTGCATGGAAATGGGTGGAAGTTATTGCATTAGGCAAAACAAGCCAGCTATAGGAAGACAAACACAGCATGTTTCCTCTCATTCACAGGACCTAGATTTTAAATTTTATTAATATATATACATGTAGGGGAACTTGGGTCTTAAAAATTAGAGAGGGCACCATGAGATGGGAAGAAAGGGTACTGAACACATGTGATATGAACATAGGAAGGGGTAGGAGGGGAATCAGAATGGAAAGAGGGACACAGGAAGAGAGTCTAGGAAGGGGAAAATAAAATATGCGCAGGGATGCTACAGGGGATCCCACTCTTTATACTGACTTTTAAAATTAACCTAGGGGCTGGAGAGGGATGGCTCAGCAGTGAAAGGCATTTGCTGATTTTGCAGAGGACGTGGGTTGGAATCCCAGAGCCCACAGCATGCATCTTACTACTGCAAGCTACCTGTACCTACAGCTTCAGGGGATCTAGAACCTTCTATCCTCCCAAGGCACCTGCATTCACACACACACACACACACACACACACACACACAGAGAGAGAGAGAGAGAGAGAATGAGAATGTTATAATTTTGGAGTTGGAGAGATGGCTCGGCAGTTGAGAGCACTTAATTGCTCTTGCAGAGGACCTGGGTTCAGTTCCCAGAATTCTCATAGTGAATGCCAGGGAGAAACCCTGATGCAAGGGACCATGGCCATATGCTAGAGCCTGGAGAAAGCTTACCTCTACTAACTCCCCCTCTGTAACATTTTCCTTTAGTCCAAGGACTGAACCCTGCCTGCCACTAGCACTCAGGGCTTCTGGCTCCATTCACTCTTTCCTTCTCAACACGATCTGAGCGCACCGTGTTGCCAAGGCAGCATCTTTCCATCTGGAGCCACATCCTCAGCTCCAAATCACCCCATTGACACTAGTCTGAGTACCCACAGGTAAAGATGAGGTGGGAGAAAGGTAGTGTGACTGAGTTTCCAATTCATGCCCAAGTAACACCAGGGGGCAGCATTTCCCAGGAGGTAGTGCCCAGCCCACCACACAGCCCTGCCAACTGTTGCCTGTGTCCACTAGGGAAAGACACCCCTCTACATGCTGTCCCTACAACCCTGAGGCTGTGGAGGAGGGTGGCCACTGATTGAATCTGTCCATAGCCTTGGCAGGTAGGCATGCAAACTTCCTTCTAGCCTTTTAATTTTTATTTATGTGTATCATATATATGTGTGTGTAGAGGAGGCCAGAAGAGGGCATCGGATCCCCCTGGAACTCCACTTACCGGCGGCTGAGAGCTATCTGATGTGGGTGCTGGGAACCAAGCCCAAGTCCTCTGGGAGAGCAATACCCCAAATCTGGTCTGCAGCCTTCCTCCCTTTTTTAGGTCTCCTGTACCCAAGTCAATGATCTGAAACTTCTGATCTTCCTATCTCTTCCTGTCCTGTGTGTGCAGTGCTGGATCCTGTGTGTCAGGGATCCTGTGTGTCAGGCAACTCTACCAACAGAACCAAATCACCACATTCTCAGAATAATTCCGTCTAGCCCTAAACCTGGTGGTTTCCCCTCCAGCAAGGATTCCAAAGGGAGCCCCTACTCACCCTCTTCCACACTCTACCATGCTGCCCTAAATCATGTCATCTCTGCCCCCTGATGATCATGCCCTGCAAAAGTACTTTTTTTTTTTTTTTTTTTTTTTTTTTTTGCTCCTTGGCTGTGATGGCCATGGACTCTTATCTCTCTGGAACTTTAAGCCCAAAGAAACCCTTCCGTCTAGAAGATGCTTGTTTGGATGTGGTGTAGGAGGTGACTTCCATCTGCTGTGGCATTGGGCTAGAAGTCCATCTGATGGACCATCCTCTTTGTGAGCTACCAGGCCCTTTGTGATCTGGCCCCTGGGGTCACCTCTCAGAAGATAACCTGCTCCATGACCAAGACTCCCAGGTGCACCTCAGGGCCTTTGCACCTGCTGCTCGTCAGCCGGGAGTCTCCACATGCCCTGGTTGACTCGAGCCTCTGCCCCAATGGCCTTCCTCAGGGAGACTCCCTGACCACCTCACCAGTGCCCTACTCTGCCCTTTGACCTTGCTTTGTCGGTAACTGTCACCCTGACATTAGTGCTGTTTAATCTGTTTTCTGTTTGTCTGGTTAGTGTTTGTCTTTTAAAACATAAATTCAGGATTATGGAGGGCAGAGGTCTTGAAGCTCCAATACCAGGTGCAAGATCCGACCTCTCTGAAGATCGGGAGACAGGAGAATGACTTGTGTGACTCAGCCATGAAAACAATGGCCTCATACTCACTATTCTTGTCACTCCCTTGATGACATCATCGAGCTCCTTGTCCGTCAGCTCCCCCAGCACGCACTCTTTAATCCACCATTGGTTCCCAGAGGTTAATAGATAGCAAGTGTTTGAAAATCCTGTGTTGGTGCTGAGGGTGTGGTGCATGTGGGGAATGTTTACCCAGCATGCATATGAAGCCTTGGGTTTGATCCTCAGCATACCTTAAACTAGGTGTGGTAGCATGCCAATGATCCCAGCACTACAGAGGTAGAGGCCTGGGGACATCAGGAGTTGAGGGTCAATCTGGCCAATATAGCTAGCGCTGCGGGACCAACTGAACTATATGAGACCCTAACTCAAAATAAGGGGCTGTCTAGAAAGACAGCACAATGGTAAAGAGCACTTGCTACCCTTTCAGAGGACCTGGGTTCAGTTCCCAGCACACATACTGGGTAACACAACCACTTATAACTCCAGCTCTCAAGGGACTGACCAGGCGCCTTTTTGAACAGATACATGGTATGCACCCACAGAGGCACACACATGTACATGCAAATAATAACTAAAGATATCTTTCAAACAACAAAAGAAGGAAGGCAGGAAAACTTGCATGCTCGGTTGGGTCTCTGGCCCACTGTGAGGCAGGCATTCTCTGTCTTCAGTTGGGGTGACTAGAGGTCAGAGGTGAAATGATGTGTTTGAGGTCACAGAGAGACTGGGGAACCAGAACAAAGCCCCCTAACTGCCCACAATCCCACCATTTTGCCCTCACCTCTCGCACACTCGGCCTCCCACAGGACTACTTCAGACACTGGCCCCCGCGGGTTTAGTTACACCATGGGAATTAGCAAACATGAACATTGGCAAATCAGTCCCTCTGACCCCAACCCCCATCGAAGAGCCACTGTCAAACTGTTACCAGCACACACAGGGCAAGAAGGGAGGGGGCTCTCTTGGGAGAGCCAGGGAGTCATCAGTCACGGCCAGAGCTTACCAGGACACCTCTAACCCCTTGGGTGGCCATGATACTTACTTACCCTGCCCTCTCCTGCTCTTCACGTGGCCCTGGCCAGCTGCCAGCTGGATGTGAGCCTTGGCAGACAGTGACACTCTTGGAGGTTGAAGGCCAAGGTGGGATGAGGACACACTCCGCCTCTGCTCCTGACCTGACCCTGGCCTCTGCCAATTACCCCATGTCTGTTGTCACAGCCTTTCCATCCTCCAGCCTCTCTGTGTGTTGTGTTTATCACTGTAGTTTTTGGTTGGTTGGTTTTGGGGTTTTTGTCTGTTGGTTTGGGTTCTCCGAGACAGGGTTTCTTTGTATGGCTGTAGCTGTCCTAGAACTCAGCTCTGCAGATCACGCTCAGAGATCCACCTGCCTTTGCCTTTCAAGTGCTCAGGTATATTGTTGTTAAGACTTCAGTTTTGTTTGTGTGTGTACATGTTTGTATCTGTAAGAG